GACCTGCCCCCGCGCTGCGGGCCCGCGCCTCCGGGAGAGCCGGTCCCTGTGGATGCTCTACCCTCTCGCACGCATCCCCCTCGCTTTGGCGCACGCTTTCTGATGTTAGTTTTGTCTCTGCAGAAAGCTGTAATAGACAGGCAGATAATGTTTTATCGCCCCGTTTGGTGAGCGGGGTCCGTACGCTCTCCTGAGGGCTGTACGAGATGTCCTGGGAAGAGAGTGATTTACAAGGGAAAAGGAAAATATCAAAACTTGCCTGCGGTGGCAAGCCAGGAGAAGATGACATTGCCACATGAGACCCCAGCTCAGGGCAGTGAGGGGTTGCCAGGGGTCAACCCTGCTCCATTGCCCACTGATGCAAAGGTCCCATGACCTTGGATGCTGGTCGTGGGGCCCCCTTGGGTGCAGGGTCCCGGGCACCCAGCCCCTGCTTTGGGCCTGCCATCCTCACCAGGTCTGGCTGCAGCCACTGGAGGTCACTGCTGATCTGCAGCTCTGCACGCAAAGCCACTTTTGGCGAGGTGGACAGGAGCTAGGCGCTGCCTGGGGCTGCTCTGCTTCCAAGCCACCCTGGGAGCTGGGTGGCTGCTGGCATGCAGAACCTCCGCTAGAAATAAGATCTGGCACCCCAACCCTCCCCAGTCATCCCTGTCTCCTGCTCCTGGATGCAAGGAGCCTTTGGGGACCCATTGCTTCCAATGGCGCAGCTCAGCGTGGGATCTCCGGGGAGGGATGCTGGCTCGGGGAACATCCTACAGCTCCCGAGCAAACAGCACTGCCCAATGGGGAATGCAAAGCCTGTAACCGGCATTTTGGGAGGCAAAAGCAGAATTACAGTGGCTAATTTTTCCCTTGTTGCTCTTGTCAAATAGTCTGTAACAAAGTTAGCTAGCAGGAATAACGTACCTTGAAGGAGGATTCTTTTATTCGTTTCTCCTCTTTGTGGCCAAGACCCTTTCTCGCCCCCTTTGAGCGAGGTGGCTTGGTGTCCCACGGGGTGTTGCACTCTGGCTTGGTGGGTACAATACAGTCTGGGCTGGGGGTTTGGGGCTGAAAGGTCCCTTCTAGGAGGGTTCAGAGATATTGCCAAAGAAATGGGTGATTTTACAGAAATGCCCATGTCTTTTGCTGTTTGAACATCTGACTAGAACTGGACAAAAAAATCTCCAGAAGGGACCTGGGAAACTTTGGGGTTCACTGACTCAGCAGGAGATCAAGACTTCCAGCAGCAATGCAAACTGGAGGACATTTCAATCCCCATTGAAATGTCCTCACTGTTTCCAAGGGGGCTGGGAACACGTTACTAGCTCCAATCCCAGCTGTAGAACTCAACCCTCTGGCAGGACAAGAATTGGCCTTCGGGACAAGAAGTTCAACTGATTTAGGGTAATGCTGTTGCTCAGCATTCAAGTAAAACCTGGACTAAAATCTTGGGGTTTCCGCACCCCCTGAACACTGATGTCTTCTCATCTACAGGTAGCGAGCAAACCTCACTCAGTTGTTTAGGGCAAAGCTGATCTGCTACCTGCTGCAAGCCTCAGCTGAATGACAAACTTGCCTCTCAATCTCCTCTAGGGAAGGAGAAGGGGGAGAGAGAGCAATGGAAGAGGTCCTAAATGGCAAGTGGGTGCCTTCTGGCTTTGGCTGAGGAGCAAACGCTGAGGCTGACAAAGGTTTTGGGTCCAGATAGCAGAGCAATATGAGTTTGGACGGGGATTAAGGCTTGTGCAGGTCCGAAGGCGGTCACAGGGTGGTGGTGCCAGCAGAGATTATAGCAACTCATCGGCATGTCAAAGACTGACTCAGCCCAAAACCCCAACTGCCAGACATGAAGAATGGGAAATTATGGGATGAAGATGGGGAGCTGGTGGGACTCCGAGCTGCTGTCAGCAGCTCTGCAGAAAGCTGAGCAATGCAACAAGGGCGATACGGGCTCCCTCCTCCCACGGCCACGCAGGGATCCTCCTGTTCAGACCCGAGGGCAAGTCCCAGGGCATATGCTCTCTGTGTCCTTGGGGCCCGCTCGGAGCGAGACTGCTCTGTAATCAGCAGAGCCTTGATGCAGGGGAAGCCCTGACTTTAAGCGGAGTCTTGGATGGCCTCCAATACCCTTGCAGAAGTTGGCAGGCGTGGACGAGGCAGCGTCTCCAGCCCCGTGGGGAACTCTCTTGCAGGGCTGCCATCACCCCTGATGGTGCTCTGGGGGGTTCTGGGAGCAGACATAGCCCTCGTGTCCCCATCTTGCAGCCCTGATGGGGCATTTAGCAACGTGGCTCTGGGGCACCCTAAATATGGTCCCTTCGGAGAGTGACTTTATTTCAAGGTGTCTTGGGCCATGCTGTTCCTGCTGGAAGTCCCTGTGTGATGGGAGCTGCTCTCTGCCTCTCTCCTCTCTCCAGCTGTCTGTCCAGAAAAGTTAAGAGTCAAACAGGGAAAATATAAAAATACAGGGCATTTATTTCTGTATGGAACCAAAGCACTTGTAATTAGTGTCTCCAGGTGGAAAACTAGACAGATTTTCTTCTCCCAAACCAGGAGACTCGGTGCTACATTGTCAGGCTCATACTTTAAAAAAAATGGTCAATGTCCCTCTTTGTCCTAAAAAGCAGGTTTTATAATAATAAAAATATTTCAAAGGCACATTCTTATCAGGGAGGCATGAAGAAACACTGCTTTTCTCCTTGCGAGCCTCCC